AAAAATTTTATTATTTTTTGTATGTGTACCGTCAAATCAGATCTGACTTGTACAGGAGGAGATTGCCCCTCCTTCTCCAGCAGAGCATCTTTGAACAACATGCCTCTGGGAATGCAGCGCAGCTTCTTGCCACTAGGCCACCAGAACTCCCTTAATAATCTTTTTTTTTTCTTTTAACATTGTTTTAATCAAGTAACATAGGTGTTTGAAATAATCTTTTTTAAAAAGACTAAAAAAATAAACAAGCCACTGGCATGGATCTTGCTTTATAATAGACAAAAGCATGGGATATGCCCAGTGGAACAACTGCGTCACCACTGGACAACTTACCTGGACAAAAAGCGTAGCTGAGTATCTGACCATCCGCTGCAGCCGCAAAGTGTTTGAATGTGGAGGTGGGTCCTGATTCAAGCCTAATGTTAAGATCTTCTTACTGAATTGAAATAGACATTTTTATGTAACAGAAACTATCAGCCTCAGAAATGAGATGCTAGGCTTTCCTGGGGAACCAGGAAGACTATGGAAGAAGTGGGCTAGTAACTCCACTGAAGTTTTTTTGAAGACAAAGCCCTTATCCTGTCCTTTGACAGAACCCATGGCCCATAACATAGTAAAAGGTGCACAACATTCAATCATTCCACAACTGACCACACAGGCAGGGCCAGTTTGGTGGCTATGTGTCTGGCGTAGCTGAACAGGGTTCAGTACTTAGAAGGCTTGTGTTTCGTTTAATGTAGTACTGCTATTGTCTTGAAATTCTTAATTTTCCAACCCAGGCAATCCATTTTCATTTTTCACTAATCCAAAGTCCACTGATGCCAAGTCGATTCTAACTCAGAAACCCTCCACTGAGTTTCTGAGACTATAAATCCTAATGGGAGAAGACTGCTCATCCTTCTCGGGGTGACTCCAGCTGCTGACCTTCTAGTCAGCAGTCAAACATGTCATACACTACACATCCGGGCTTCTGCATTTCACCCCAAGCCCCACAAACATATAGCCAATCCTGCATGAACAGTTTCCTTCTCAGTCATTGCACTGCATATACCCAAAGGGCTGACTTAAAACTGACAGCCAGCCCCACAGCTTAAAAGCTCTTATATATTTGAAGAACACAGACTAGAACCCAAGTTTCTATCCTGATGTTAATATTTCTCAAGCTGTAGTGCTTTTTAACACCTATAAAAATGGAGGATAATAGCTTCATTTATCTGAATTACACATAGAATAACTTTGGTAGAATGGACAGATTGCTGGTGTCAATACATAGCTCTTACCCCTTTAAAGGAACAGAACACATAGGAAATGAACTGTGATGCATCAAATACCAGAGCTTTGCCTCCCTTGGCCTCTCCCTCACACATTTCCACTATGCCCAAGCCTCTTGGGTCAGCCCAGGAGGCCTGCCCACCACTTTATAAAAATATAGCACCTTCTTCACTCAGAACAGGAGATGAAACAGGCCGTACCTTAAAGCATCTATCAGCTCATAGATTTTCTGCACTTCTACTCGAAGGTCACTGGCATGTTCCAGACTATAGGTTGTCTCCCCAGCACTGAGGAAAAAATCACATTTAATTTCAACTTAGCCATGATGATTGAAGAACAATGCATAGAAAGGTTCAATGGTTTAAAGTCTCACAAAGGCAAGGACAGTTAATTTTCTCAAAGTGGCAACTTATATCTAATGCTAGGATCACTAAACTTCAAAACATAAGTGCTAATCAACTGGAAAATGCTTTCCAAACTGCAGGTAACAAAGGCACGTACTTTCCCCCCCCCCCTTAAGCTTAAAAGCAGCTTTATTAAGGGGCTCTTTGGGCAAGGTTCCTTATTCTGAAGATGCAGGAGGAAGTTGCCCTTTGAACACATTGGGGAGGGGTTTTATAACAGGGTCTTTAGGGAGGGCAGAGGAAGGATATTCCATTGTGATTTATGGTTCATCCATTAGTTGGGCCAGGTGGGCAAGGTCATTCACTCTTCTTGTTGATGAGTGTATTCTTTGAATTCTTCATCCTCCCCCTTGGCCCACTGTCCAAAACATGAGGAGAATGTCAAGACTGGGCAGCATTTTATTCTGCTCTTCATGAGGTAGTCTTGAGCAGGGGCAAGTTTGAATACACCGAGGCCTTTCTTCTTAGTGAGTTCCAACTTAACCACCTGCATAATCTGGATATATTTTAAGTGAACCCAACCAAAAACAAACAACAACAACAAAAATCTAACCTACTACTATTATAGCAAAACTATGATGTGGAAATGATCCAGCCAGCACTCTCCGAGAACTTGAAAGAGGAAACATTAATAGCCAGTGACCCAGGGGAACTCTTGTTCCTAAAATCTGGACATTAAATGATAAGTGAGCACACCTGGCACATACTCTTTCATCATGAAAACTGACGACACTGAATCTACTTCGACCTATGTTCTCTATGTAATTTCACTATGGCTTAGTGGTAAGGATTTGTGCTGCCAAACCATAGGCAATTGGTTGAAAATCAGCAGCCACTCTGCAGAAGAAAGATGAGCAATTTCCTCTGTGAGATTTATAGCCTCTGAAAACCTGCTGGAGGGACAATTATTCAGTCAGTTCCAACTTGACAGCACATACCAACACTAAAACATATAAAGTGGTTTACTATATGAGTTGGTTCTTAACACCACCAGAGCACTCAAACTCAGGGAGAAGAGAAACCACAGGAGGGCTGGCCAAGGAATCCCTCTGCAAGAAGCCTCCCACACAGCTCTACGCTGACATGAGGAAAGCACTAACTTTACAGAAGAAGGGAGGTGGAGCTGCTGAGAGTGGGGCATATAAAGGAAGGCCAGTAAACTGGTTTCCATTAAGTCAAGCCTGACTCATATGTGGCAGAAAAGAACTGTGCTTTATAAGAATTTTAAATAGCTGTGATCTTTCAGAAGTGGACTGCCTGACCTTTCACTCAAGGTGTCTCTGTGTAGATTTAAAGGATTTACTGGCCCTAACTAACAAACTATGTCTGTTAGATGCTGTCGAGTTGACAATGACAAACAACTGTACGAACCACTCACTAGAACTTTGCCCGATTTAGTGTCAGTGTCACGATTTCCACCAAGCCCACTGTTGTAGTCATGTCAATTCATCTCATTGAGGGTCTTCCTCTCCTTCTCTGACCCTCAAGCTTCATGGCATGATGTCTTTATCCAAAGATTAGCCCCTTCTGGCATACCCAATATACAGGAGGCAGAGTTCATCCCTGCCAATAAGGAGCATGCTGGTCACACCTCTAAGATAAATTTGTTCTTTTGTTCATCCAATAATTTTCTCCAACACCACAATTCAAAGACATCAATTCTTCCTTGATCTTCCTTTTTCATTGTCCAATTTTCTGTTGCATAGGAGGCAACTGAAAATACCATAGCTTAGATCAGGCACACTTCAGTCTTGATACTGATACATTTGATCTTTAAAGAAGTCCATGACAACAGATTGCCCCAATGTAATACATCTTTTGACTTTTTGACTGCTGCCCATGGGTATTGATTGTTGATCCAAATAAAAAGAAATCATTAAATTGAATCTTTTCTCCATGATCATGTTGCCTACTAGTCTTGTGGTGGATTTTTATTTTCTTTTTTTCCCTATAATTATATTTTATTAATTTTCATAAACATTTACAGAGATTTTGGGTTTCCATTCATTCACCACTGCACC